AGGCGCAGGACTGTTTGGGAGACTGTCCACCAGGGGGCGCTCACCCGCACTCACGGGTCTGCAGAGCAAGGCTGGGGCACGTGCATTTTTTAAAAAAAATATTTTTATTGATTTCAGAGAGGAAAAGAGAGGGAGACAGAGACAGAAACATCAGTGATGAGCGAGAACCATGGATCGGCTGCCTCCCGCATGACACCTACTGAGGAATAAGCCTGCAACCTGGGCGTGTGCCCTTAACCGGAATCAAACGGGACCCTCAGTCCCCAGGCTGATGCTCTGAGCCAAACCAGCCAGGGCACATGGATTTCTTTAACAAAATCTTGGATGTATTCTTACACACACCAGCTCATTCCAAGACGGCGATACTCAGCCCTGGCCAGTGTGGCTCAGTAGGTAGAGCATCGGCCTGCCGACCAAAGGGTCCTGGGTCTGATTCCGGTCAAGGGCATGTACCTTGGTTGCAGGCTCCTTCCTGGCCCAGGCCCTGGTTGGGGCATGTGCAGGAGGCAGCCAATCACTGTGTTTGTCTCACATCGACATTTCTGTCTTTCCCTCTAACACTCTCTCTAAAAATCAGTGGAAAATATGCTTGGATGAGGCCCAAACGTCCATTGGTGCCAACTACTTGGCTCCCATGTCCCAGTCCGGCCACTGACTGCGACCTGAGAGCAGCCACAGCGACAAGGGGGTGTGTGGCTCAGTGGCTGGGGGGCGCGCGACGTCTGGCTGTGGGAACACGCCCCAGGCGGGAACCTCCTGCCCGTCCTCACAGCCCGAGAGAACATCCCCAGCAGCTCCCCGACCAGCGTCATCCTGGCCCCACACCCACACTCGCCGTGTTGCGGGCTCGATCCCCATACTCCAGGCCTGGCTACTGCCCTGTCCATGGGCATCTCCTGGGCGGCGTCCACCCGCCCCCAGGCCCCAGTGACTCCTGTCCCCCCCCTGCGTGGGCCACGGCTGCCATTTCCTCTTGGCATCTCCAGAGCACAGCCCACGAGTGGCCAGGGAGTGCCGGGCCGGCTGCGCCTGGAGGAAGACAGTGTGTGTGGGTGTGCGCGTGTGTGCATGTGTGCACGAGCGTGTTTGTGTGTGCATGTGTGCACGAGCGTGTTTGTGTGTGCATGTGCGCGCACGTGTGCGTATGCATACGTTTGTGTGTGCGTGCGCATGTGTGTGCGCGCGTGTGTGCATACATGTGTGCATGTTTGTGTGTGTGCGTGTGTGTGCGTGTGTGTGTGGCAGCCCCTGGCCGTGGAGGCGCTGTCTCCTCCCTCCCTCCCTGCAGGCGCCCTCTTGCCGCAGCCGCAGGCCTCCCCGTCCCGCGAGAGCCTCTCACCGACAGTCAGGGCCTCGAACAGGCGC